GACCTGCCTGGTCTACAAGAGCTAGTTCCAGGACAGGCTCCAAAGCTATACAGAAACCCTGTCTCAAAAAATATATATATATAATTTTTTAAAAAATATATTCGTAGTCTTTGTGTGAGGGGTGCAGTGCTCAAGGAGACCAGAAGAGGGCGTAGGATCCCCGAAGAGGGCGTAGGATCACCTGGGGCTGCAGTTACAGGTGGCTGTGAGCGACGTGGTCCTTTGCAAGAGCTGCCACCTCTCTAATCAATATACTCCCGCCCCAGAGAAGTGGAAAAAGTTTGACTCTCAGCTACCCACACACCCACACACACACACTCCTGGGTTGAACACTCGGTCCCTAGTGGTCGGTGGTTTTAAAAGGGCCTGGAACCAAGGATGGGGGCAGTCCCGGAAATGGATCACACTGAGCTTCCGGGGACAGAGTGCAGCAAAAGCTTTGTGTATAATTTTTGGGAGGGCGGGGGGGGGGGGGAACACTTGAGAATAAGCTAGAAATCCAATCTGAGTCCAACTTTTTCAAGTGTCTGTGGCGGTGTGAAGATGTGCCCACAGAGGCCAGAGGAGTGATCACATTCCCTAGTGTTGAGTTATAAGTGGTTGGGGTTCTGGAAACCGAGCTCTGGTCTTCTCTAAGAGCAGCCAGTACTCCGAATCTCTGGACTCTCTCCAGCCCCTGGTCGTACATTTTGTGTGTGTAATAAAAAGCCGGGCTGTGCCGGGCGGTGGTGGTGCACGCCTTTAATCCCAGCACTCGGGAGGCAGAGGCAGGTGGATCTCTGTGAGTTCGAGGTCAACCTGGTCTACAGAATGAGTTCAGGACAGCCAGGGCTACACAGAGAAACCCTGTCTCAAAAAATAAAGGAACAAAACATTGAGAAGATGTGAAATTTGCTATTTTACCTGAGCGCATCTGTCATTGCAGCACTCTGAAGGTGCTGGCAGGAGGTTCAAGACCATTGTGGACTACAGATGAGTGCCAGGTCAGCTTGGGCTACATGAGCCCCTAATTCAAGTATTAACTTGGTAGCATATGTCATATATACACTGCTGTACAATCCTGTCGTTCCAGAGCATTCTGAATGCCTTTAAGAAGAAGCCATTCTGTATTCTCAGCAAATGTATATGTCTGCTCTGATTTTTTGTTTGTGTGTTTCTTGCTGAGAATAGAAGCTGGAGCATCCTGCAGGAGCAGCTTGTTGGGCAAATGTGCCTACCTGGCCACACACCCTCAAACCCTCACTGACTATTGAACTGCCTACTGCCATGCCCCTCATCTGGTAATTTTGTTTTGTTTAGCTTTGTTTCTGATTCAGTCTACTGAATGCCGAATCAGAGTGTGTTCAAGCCTCCACAGGAAAGGATCAGGGCTGATGCCAGGTGTGTGGGTCTGACTTCAGCACCCTATGTTCATCTCATTCCCTTAGCTCTGGCCTCCTGCACCAATTTCTTGTTTGTCTATCAGGCCTACCATCCATGGCTACCCCACCTACAAGAGGGAGGCCAGACATACCAACCTGGTTGTGAGGAGTTGGAGCCTCAGAGATGGTGGGTCTGGATATTGGCTCTGTGTTTGGGTCTAAACAGCCTCAAGGAGTCAAGCTACCTGCCACCCCCTTTTCTCCCTTTTCTTCTATACCAGAGGAGACTGTTCTCGTACTGTTAGCCATGAACATAAACAACTTCAGGCAAAAATTGACCTTAAGAGTCCCATGCCAATCAGACTGGCTCCATACATCCATTCTAAAAATTGAGCTTATTTCTGTAATTCTACTGAGCTCATGGTCGGGACTTTCTAACTTGGCAAACTTCTATTCATTCTTCAAACCCTTCATCCCCACACTTCTTCTTTCATGTGTTTTTACAAATGCTTTGCCTGTCCCCTCTGTGGCAGAAAGAAGAGATCAGTCACTGTGTGTAGTGCCCGTGCCACTACCGGTCGGTTTGCGAGTCTCAGGCAAGGGCCTAGAGATTTAAACACATACACACACAGAGACAGGGACATGGATCATCCTTGTTACAAGAATGCCAACTTTATTGTGCTCCAGGGAAGCTTAGAGATCCTTAACTGATAGCTATGCCCCAGCTCTTGGAATCTTTCAGCTGTAGGCCTCACCAGAACCCACTCCCCTGCCATCAGTGTCTCATGCTCAGAGCAGCTTCAGGCACAGGTAAACAAGTTGTTTTGCTCCGTTTACTCCAGTAGGCAAAGGGTCTGAGGCAGGCAAAAAAAGTCAAGGGGCCAGGGTCTGCAGCCCCCAACGTGTCTCCATGTGTTTGTGTGTTTATGGCACATCGTATGTGTGGGGTCAGAGGAAAACAGGGGAATACTATCCTCCAACATGTGGCTCCCAGGGATCAAACTCAAGTCTTCAGACTTTGCAGCAAGCACCTTTACCTGCTACACCAGCCCACGAGTCTTCAGTCATCTCTGGAGCACTCTTTCCAACCCTAGGACTATATCTGCAGCCAGTATACTGAGACCTCAGGGAAATGCCCAGCAAGATGTGCCCACATCTTTAATCCCAGCACTCAGGAGGCAGAGGCAGGCCAGGCTAGTCTATTTATAGAATTCCAAGACTGCAGAATAAATGAGACCTTGTCCCAAAACAAGTTTATGGGCTAGAGAGAGCCCAGTAAAGTGCTGTGTGCGCATCAGAGCTGGTGGTGCACACCTGTAATCCCAGTGCTTGGGAAGAACATACAGGCAGATAGGCCCCTTGGGATTGCTGCCCAGGCAGTCTAGCCTAGTCCCTAAGCCCCAGATCAAGCAAGAGATCCTATCTCAAGAAGAAGGCGAGCCTTCACCACGTCCCTCCCCATGTCCCTCCCCCATGCCCCTCCACCACGTCTCTCCACCATATCCCACCATGACAATAATGGACTGAACCTCTGAATTTTAAGCCACCCAATGAAATATTTCCTTTATAAGTTGCCATGGCCATCGTGTCTCTTCACAGCAATAGAACACTAAGCCGCTTGTCCCCTAGCACTTGGGCAGAGCAATCTGGAGTTGAAGGCTGTCCTTGGTGTCTTAGTGTTCTAGTGAAGAGATACCATGACCACAGCAACTCCTGATGTGTTTAATTGGGGGCTGACTTACAGTTTCTGAGCTTTCTAGTCTGTTGTTACCATGGCGGCATACAGAGCCCTGAAGCACTAAAAACTACATCCTATCCACAGGCAGAGAGAAAGAGAGGTTCTGGGCCTCTCATGGGCTTTTGAAATTTCAAGGCCCACTCCCAGTGACACACTTCCTCCAACAAGGCCACACCTCCTAATCCTAATCCTTTCAAATAATATATGATTCTGTGGGGGCCATTCATATTCAAACTGCCATGCCGGGCTCCCGTAGAGAGTTGGAGGCCAACCTGTGCTACATGAAACCTTGACAAAAGAGGGAAGGACAGGTTCTGACGCTCCCGTTGTGCCAGGGCAGGACCCCGGATCTGCTCGTCACAGCCTTTCTATATCTTGGCTGTACCCCCTCACCCAGTTTTCAAACAAAAAAGTCAAAGCAGAGGGGCTGTGGCTCAGCTGGCAGGGACAAACCTCCTCCCCAGCCTCCACACTGACACGAGGAGCATTTCCCAGGACTATCTCAGTGGGTCTGGGTGGGTACAGGGGAAGTAGGGGCCCAGTCCAGGGTAACTGGGTCCCAGGTGGTGGCCAGTTGATTTGGAACACAGTCCTTGCCCCTGCTCACAGAAGTGAGCCACAAACAGCCAGGCTTTGTTAACACTGAAAGACCCCCAGTGTGGGGAGACTCTCACTCAAGTCTCGGGATAACACGACCCCCCCAGTAACTCACGAGAGACCGTCCTTGCTGCAATCACACGAGGTTTAATGACAAGACGGGAACCAGTGCATTGGGACCCAGACTCATAACCCACGCAGGGGTAGAGTTCGACCCCGAGCAGCTGGGAGAAGGGGTTTTTAAGGGAAGAAACCACAGCCCAGTAATTCGAAAGGGGTAGGGAGGTCCAGTGATGATCACAAGGGGGCAACTCCCTGTTCCTCAAGGTTATTCAAGATTATAATCAGCTAGTTCCTTAAACACAGTATCCCAAAAATACCAATGATAATCACAAGGGGGAAACCCCTTGTTTCTCAAGATTATTCTCAAGATTACAATCTAACTTTATCTTCAGCTAGTTCCGGAAACACTGAACCAGCTAATCCTAGGTTTCTGATTCTTCCCTCCCTGCTTAGACTTTTGGCTCTATTTTTTCCTGCTAGGGGGATCTGGATATCCAGGTCTTTCAACACAAAATACAAAAGGGATTAAGAGGAAGTTTGTTCTGGAGCCAAATGTGTGACCATGATCCAGGAACACAAATACAGGTCACCCAAAATTCCATGTTCAACATGGTGACAGTAACAAAGTATTTATAGTATCGGGACAAAGAAAACCATTAATCAAGACACTTTTCAAATCCATTGATGGAAACACCTGGCAGGTGGGTCACAGCTGGGGGAAATCTGAGCTGCAGGCCAGAAACTCTCACCTTCCTAGGTGGGAATCAGTTCACTCCAGAGTGACCTGGGGCTGAGGAGCAGTAAGCTTGTGGGGGCCAAGTCTGGGCAGGTCACTCAAAAGAACCATTATCATCTGGGACTCTGGCCATCCATCGATGAATTTAAATGGAGTCTGGAATCTCAGTAGTTTACCCTGAGACAATGCCTGGCTGCAGGAGGAACCACAGGCTGAGATTGCCTGACTCCCACCCAAGAGCAGACCATTCAAAGGAAATGCCTGGCATTCCAACTGCTGTAGATAGGGTCACCTGCCAGCGCACCTCAACAGGACACCCTAGACAAATGTCAGCCAATCAGGGGTCCTGAACCTCAGAGACCCCTCACCCCCATCTTTACTACTATAAAAACCCAATTCTAATTGAGCTCAGGGCTCTCCCCTTACTCCAATACGTCGGACGTGCAGAGAGAGCGAGTTTGCAAACTTGATTAAAATGAAGGCTCTTTGCTTTTTACGTATGGGACTTGGCTTCCTTGTTAGCTTGCGGGGATTGCTCGAATTTGGGCGTAACAACCTTGATTAGGCACTGAAAGTTCCAGTCAGTTGGTCAGTCTTCAGGTGCAGCCTCTTTCCGGAACCTTCCTTTACAGATTCCAGCCCACGTCCTCTCAGCTCAGTCCATGTGGTGGTGACTCTGCAGGCCCCAACAGGCTGTCCAACGGACTTGAGTCAGCAAACCTTAGCATGGCCGCCCTCCTTCCTTCAACTCTGACCCAGCCTTCAGGGCACTGTGGCACTGGACGCAAGTACCTTGTCCAGTTGAAATGTCCCAGAGAGAGGAGTCAGCTGTGCTGTGGAGTGTAGGCAGCCAAGTTTCAGGTCACATGCTAACTGGTCGCATCCCCCAGATCAGCTCAGAAAATTCAGTTCTCCCTAACTCCTCCTCCAGCCTCCAACTTCCCATGCCTGCCCTCCAGTGAGCCATCTCTCTCCCCAGATACTGCACGAGCTCACTCGTGACTGGCAGCTGTGAGGAACACTACGGAAGTTCTGAGCCCGGCTGTCTCAGCTGCTGTTCTACTGCTGTAAAGAGACTGCGGCAGAAGTTCTACCTTATGATGGATTTCTGAATTTACTTTTAGTTTTTAGGATTTAGATGGCAATTTACTCTTTTTCTTTTTGATTTGGTTTGGTGTTTTGTTTGTTTATTTGGGTTTTGTTTTTGTTTTTTTTGTTTTTGACAGGATTTCTCTGTGTAGCCCTGGCTGTCCTGGAACTCTCTCTGTAGACCAGGCTGGCCTTGAACTCAGAGATCCACCTACCAGTGCCTACTGAATGCTGGAATTAAAGGGTCCGGCTGGCAATTTACTTTTAATATTTTTTTTCTGTTGGGTATTGGAAGGGAACCTAGATCCACAGATGCTTAGCAAGTGCTCAGGTCAATATTCATTCATGCATTTATTCAGCCAGGGACTCACTAAGTAGCCCTGGAGGGCCTGGAACTCTCTATACCTCAAACTAGCACAGAGCTGCCTTCCACTGTGTCTCAAGTGCTGGGATTAAAGGACCTAGTTATTTCGTCTTACTTTAAGACAAGGTTTAGTGTACTCTAGGCTGACCTCAAACTTGGTAAGTACCCAAGGCTGGCCCCTGCAAGTCTCCTGGGTGTTAGAATGATAGGCTTGTGGCACCACACCTAGAACCCTGCTTCTAAAACACATAATGTGGTCCTAGCCAGACCACAGAGGACAAATCAAACCCGGGTCCTTGTGCAAACAGTAGGCATCTAATGTGGGAATGATTTCTCCTCCCCCCAGTGCCCCCGCTATCATGCAGAACTGGCACCTCAGGCTGGGGTCTCCCTTCTGCTCCCGGAAACAGGTGTTTTTCCTGTTGCTGTGGCTGGGACTGAGTGATAAGACCCAAGGGCCCCTTGGAGAGAGGAAGGCAGAGGACAGGAAGAGGGCCCCAGGGATGGGCTTCCTTCCCTGATGGGAGGGAAGCTCCAGGGCTCATCCCTGAATATGAAAGTATGGAAGGCCACCCCTCATGTCCTCTGCCACAGACTTTGGGCTGCTCCATCCTCAGCTATGAAAACAGAAAAGGAGGGAAGTGGGTGTGGTGGCCCTGTCACCCCACTCCAGGACGGTGGACAGGAGGGTCAGCTCACGGCCAGCCTGGGCTACATGAGACTGCCTCCAACAACCTCCAAAGAAAGGTGTATGAAGGGTCTTCCTCAGACATGGGCTGTACATGGGAAGCCAGACGGGCACGTTCTCTCAGGAGCCTTCAAAGGCCACCTCAGGGCCTCCTGGTCCATAAGATCCTCAGGCCCTCACTTTGATTGAAAAATGTCCTCAGGTCCTGTGCTGGGGCACTTCCCACCTCAGGACCCTGGCCTTTGTCTGTGTGTGCGTGTGCAACACACACACACCCCATACACATACACCTCCACATACCCACACCAACCATACATGCACACACACACACCATACAGATGCACACACATACCATACAGACACATGCATACACACCCACCCACACCATATAGACACATGCACACACACATACCATTCAGATGCACACACACACACCATACAGACACACGCACATGCACACACACACCATACAGATGCACACACACACCATACAGACACATGCACACGCACAGACATACACCATACATACACACACACACACACACACCGTACACATACACCTCCACATACCCACACCTACCATACAGACACACGCACATGCACACGCACACACACACCATACAGATGCACACGCACACACACACACACATGCTCCTCCCCTTCTCCCCCACTTCTTTTCCCTGCTTTCCATTTTCCTTCCTCTCCCTTCTGCCTTCTAAGCCAACTTCAGCCATGCCTGGAGGCACACACTGCCATCCCTGTGTGACTGAGACAAGAGGCTGAGCAGGCAGCCCGGGCTGCAAACTGAGACTTTCACAAATACCAACCATGGAAGGGGTGTCCAGCAGTAAAGGGGCTTGCTGGTGGGAGAGAACTGACCTCATGCCTATTGTCCCCTGCCCTCCACAGACCCTGTGTATGTCAGGAGTGCACACCCCACCCTCAAATCCAATACTTTTTGTTTTTTATTTTGGTTTTGTTTTTTGTTTTTTGAGACAGGGTTTCACTGTTTAGCCCTGGTTGTCCTGGAACTCACTTTGTAGACCAGGCTGACCTTGAACTTACAGAAATCTGCCTGCCTCTGCCTCCAGAGTGCTGGGATTAATGGTGTGTGCCACTATCACTGGGCACGAATCACCACTGCCTGGCCCAATAAATATTTTTAAATTTTTTAAAAAATCAAACAATGGGGGAGCTGGAGAGATGGCTCAGAGGTTAAGAGCGCTGACTGCTCTTACAGAGGTCCTGAGTTCAATTCCCAGCAACCACATGCTGGTTCACAACATCTCTGTAATGAGATCTGGCGCCCTCTTCTGGCAGGCAAGCATACATGGAAGGAATGTTGTATACATAATAAATAAATAAATAAATCTTTAAAAAAAAAATCAAACAATGGGCTGGGCAATGGTGCATGTCTTTAATCCCAGCACTCAAGAGGCAGAGGCAGGTGAATCTCTGTGCGTTTGAGGCCAGCCTGGTCTACAAAGCAAGTTCCAGGACAGCTAGGACTACACAGAGAGACCCTGTCTTGGGGGTGGGAGGAAAGAGAGAGAAGAAAAAAAGGCTGGAGAGATGAGATGGCTCAGCAGTTAAAAGCACTGGTTGCTCTTCCAGAGGACCCGGTTTCAATTCCCAGCACCCACATAGCAGCTCACAACTGCCTGTAACTCTAGGTCCAGGGGATCTGACACCCTCACACCAATGCACATAAAATAAAATTAAATAAATTTTTAAAAAATGGGGGGAAGCAAACACGAAAACCAACCCCAACAACAAATGGTCAGGTTCTGGGGCGCTGCGGACTCTCCATGGGGGATATGGCTTAGGGTGACCTTCTAGGCTTGCTTGGACTACTCTTTGAGGCCCTGGGAAGCCTTGGAAAGTTCTTGAGAAGGAGAACTGGAAAAAGGGTCGTCCCCTTCGAGGGCTGGTCTGTCTGGGGAAGCCCCTGCAGTCTATGGTCACCAGCCCTGCTTGGGGGCAGCTAGGAGCTGGGCCGGCCCCTCTGCAGACTGCAGCAGGAGGCTGCACGACTGAGTCATCAGGCTGCCAGGGGAACATTCAGCGCCCAGAGGGCCCGCGTGGGCTGTCACGCAAAGGAACGCGGCCCCCAGAGCCCCTCGGAGCCGCCTTCCCTTCCCCACTTAGTGTTCCCACAGCTGCTCTGCAGAAGGATCGTAGGAGGTGGGGGCAGGCTAGAGCGAAGGCAAGGCCAGCAGTCCTGGTTTCCAGGGAGGTGCAGCCTCCGTGTTGTGTGTATCTAGGGGATTCTGCCCAGAGTGGGGAAACTGAGGCTCTGGAAGAGGCAGGGTCTGTTCTCATTCTCCACATCCAGAATTGAAATCCCTCTCCTTCTCTGGCTCCAAAGTCTCCCATGGCTCCCCAGCACCCTTAGGACAAACCCACACACTCCATGTGTCCCCCCAGGCCATGCTCAGCTCCTGCAATTTTGCATCAGGGTTCAGCCCCAGCCCATGGTTCTCTGTCCACCCCAGCTTCTAAGCTGTTCTAGTAAAACCAATCTATCCCTACCTCAGGGCCTTCGCATGTGCAGGGCTTCTGCTCCGAGTCCATCTCTCAAAGTGACAATTTTAGAAATCATGGATGACCATGGAGAGAGCTACCTGGGAGTCAGAATTCGAACCCAAGGTCATCTGAGACTTTTCCAAAGTGCCCTACACAGCGAGTTGCTTTGGAGCCTGTCCTGGAACTTGCTCTGTAGTCCAGACAGACTGGTCTAGAACTCACAGAGACCCGCCTGCCTTTGCCTCCTGAGTGCTGAGATTAAGAGTGACCAACCCCTGACTATTTAATTTCTTGAGACAGGGTCTCTCTATATAGCTCAGACTGGCCCTGAATTCATAGCAACCCCCTTGCCTCAGCCTCATGAGTGCTAGGATAAAGTTGCAAACACAGCCAGGTTTGAAGTTCTCTTTCAGGGCCACTGCTCAATGAAGCCAGCTGATCCCCAGACTCTGAGGCTGTCTTGCCTAGGTGCCAAAGACCCTTGGGTCCCTTCCTCCCATCCCTGCTCGGATACATCCCCAGAGGCCCTCCTAGTGTGGCCGCAATTCCTCCGGCCCACTTTCTGCCCTTCATAGGCATGGATGTGGGAGCCTACAAGGACGTATTAGCCAAAAATAATCCTGCGACCTACCTCCTGAAAATGGGCCGGCCCCACCCGGCCACCTGGCACCCAGGAGGCAATTAGCACACGTGGTAAATGAGGGTAATTAGATCTGTGGGCACACACTGCCATCCAGCTCCCGGCACCATCTCCTCTGCTTCGCTGCACAGTCGGGCGGCCCCTCTACTTCCTTGGCTTCTTGTGTCAGAGCGTGAGCAACCCGAGCTCCACTGCTTCTGGGATCATCTCACTGAACCAAAATTTCCCTGGGAGAGAAATTCATGTCTGCAAAATCATGTTCCACCTTCCCTATGCTCCCACCCTGTGCTATTGGGGCACACTCAGACTGTCGGAGACAAGAACTGGACACAGACACACTCAGTCTCCTGGAGTCAGACCCGAGACAGATGAGAAAGGGTTCCTTGGTAATGAGGTGCTGGAGGTGCTTGTGAGAGGTGGAGAGCAGTTTTCGGGGAGATAAGGTCTGAAATGGGGCCCAAGAGAGTATGGCTAGAGGCGTGGGGCTGGCTGAGGGAAGAGAAGGTTTGTGAGCGTCATACCATGTTGGAAGCCCCTCTCTATTTTTGAGACAGAATCTCACTATGTTGTTCTATTCTAGAACTATTTAGACTAGGCTGGCCTCGAACTCAGAGATCCTCCTGCCTCTCTCTGCCTCCTGAGTGCTGGGATTAAAGGTGTGCACTGCCACCACCCAGCTAACAAAGAATTTTTATTTAAAAATTTAATTATGAAAAAAACAAAACCAAAAAAAAATAAAAGAAAAAAAAAACAGCCGGTGATGGTGCACACCTTTAATCCCAGCACTCAGGAGGCAGAGGCCACTGGATCTCTGTGAGTTTGAGGCCAGCTGATCTACAGAGTGAATCTGTGGTTAGGAGACCTGTTTTCTGGAAAGGATCTGTGCCTGGTTGAGCTCGTCCTGCAGCCCTTACCTGTCACTCGGGACAGAGGGCTGTGGGTGCTGCCTGAGTCCTACAGCTCCTCGCCCTGCCTCAGTCCATTGTCCAGGTAAAAAAGAAGAGCCTGCCACATGGAGGAAGCCACACCCTGGCTTGCTCCAGGCTAGCCCTGTTCTAGCCCCAGTTGAGAGACCAATACAGATTCAGGTGAGGAATCCGTTTTTTGAGACCCAGACCTGGAACTGGCAGTGTAGATAAGGTTGATCTTGAGCAAACAGAGATCTCTCTGCCTCTGCCTACTGATTGTCCATCTCTGTTTGCTTTTGAGTAGTATCTCACATTGCCCAGGCTAACTCTGAACTCACATTGTAGCTTAGGAAAACCTTGAATCCCTCCCCTCTCTACCGTCCTTCTGGGAAGACAGGCACCTACCACGCCTGGTTTCAGGAAAACTCTCAACTCTAGAATTCTTTCTTGTACCCACACATAGCACAAAGCCAACCTGGGCCCTTAGCCACTGTGCCCCACCCCCTCTGCTGAATAACCACATATCTAGGTCCTGCAGCCAGCTAGTGCCTGATGGGCCAGGAGGAACTTCCAGCCTGCTGCCCCAAGTGCAGATACTTTAAAAAAAAAAAATAGTGTCACTGGTAATAAGGAAAAAGTCACTTGAACACAGCAGACGGTATTTTCTTTGTTCCCAGTGTTCACACGTTCTGTGGCTCCAAGCCTGCACATATGCCTCAAAGTGAGCGCAGAGAGGTCACGCTTTCCCCAGCTGGGAATAACTACTGTGTCAAGGAGGCTGGGGCTCAGACAGGGGTAGTTGGAAATATAGCCACATATACTGAATATATCCAGAGAATCTGCAGCCTGTGGGCCAGGAAGAGACTAGGAATCCATGTGCTCCCAGTATGGGCTGTCAGACATTTGGGAAGAAGGTGGAAGAGCAACAGACAGCCTTGGAAAGGGGTTCCCGGGAGGACACCTGCTCAGATGCCCAGCAGAGCGAGCAGAGATGGGCTTGAGGCAAGGAAGGCCTGATATAGGGACTTCAAAGCTGGGAGCTCTAGGGAACCACAGGTATCTGGGTTCTCAGGGTGCTGAAGCCCTTGCAGAACTTTCTAGAAAAGGACAGAAGGGAATTTGCAAGGGGGACCATCATAGCGCTGGGGACCCACAACAGATAGGGGTGCATCCTGTATCTGTACCTGTCTGCTGTAGGCAGACAGCCTCCCAGGGCCAAGAGGGAGGACAGACTATGGAGCTGCAGGGAGCTCACCCATTCCATGGGGAAAAGGACACAATTGCACCAACACTTGGTTCCTGAGACCCAGAAACAATTAATAACCTGTTACTTTCAGCTTTTTTTTTTTTTTGAAAGTCAGTGTCTCACTATGCAGCTCTGAATGGCCTAGAACTCAGTATATAGACTAGGTAAACTAAAATTCTCAGAGATGTGCCTACCTGTTCCTCTGAAATGCTGGGATTAAAGGTGTGTGCCACTATGACCAACTAACTGGTGGTGCTGGGATGGAGCCCAAGGCTCCATGGAAGTTTGGCAAGGGCTTACTCCCTGAGTTGCCCCCAAGTACCCAGGTGCTGGATTGTCACAATGAGACAATCTGTCCAGTGAGGCCTAGACCCTGCTTCCAGACTCCAGCAATACCCATTGAGCGCCTACTGTATGCAGCCACAAGCATCCACACGCTCTCCTCACCTCATCTCTTAGCTCCACAGTGGCAGCGGTCACACCCCAGTCAGTCAAGAAGCTATCTGAAGGCTCAGGGCCACCCCGGGCTCGGGGGGGGGGGGGGACGAGGAATTATTGTCCACACATTTTCTGTGTGTTTCGCTATCTTCGGGTCTCTGGGACAACCAGGATGTCTGCTCTGTCCCCATGCCCAAGCCCGCTACCCTGTCTTCTCATACTTCAGACCGTCACCCTGGGCTCTGCCCCAAGGTTGACTCTTTTGTGTCTCTCTCCTCCAACCTTTTCTCCACCCGGCCGCCCCTTACCCCTGCTACCTTCTGCTTCTCCCCAGAGTTTATGAGATCCTCCCCTCTGTCCCAGAAGCTCCGCCTTATCAACGGTCCCTACCTCTAATCCCTTAAACTCCAACCCCCTTACTCCACGGGTCCCGCCCCCTCCTACGCCTTCGGCTGCCTCCCACAGGGCTTCCCTCCTTCTGTCCACTCTCTGGCCCTTGACTTTCCGGCCCCTCCCTCTCTACCCTGTCCGCCTCAGCCCTCTTTGACAGTCCTCTTCTCTACCCTGCAGTCCCCTTACCTTCTATTCCCCGACTCCTTCCCAGGCCTCACCCTCCCTCCCCTGCCCAAGTCACTCCCCCTTATTCTGTTTTCTCTCTCTCTCTGTTTCCCCTATACCGCCCCAGGAGTCCCTCCTCCTGACCTCCTGGTGCCCTCCCCTTCCTCTGCCCCTTCACCCCGCCCCATTTCCCCTCTGCTCCATTCACTAGCAATTCTTGTCTCCCTCCCCCAACCCCCTCCGCAGATTCCCGCTGGAGCCCCCCTCCCCGCCTCCGCAATCGGCCCTCCCCATTCTTCCTTCTCCGGGTCTCCTCCCTCCTTCCGCCCTCACTCGCTGGCCGGCAGGGGGCGCTGGGCAGAGGCGGGGCGGCGCGGGTACTGGCCGCGATGGGACCGGAGGCGGCGCAGACA